AAAGTCAACTTTTAGCTGATTTTAATATATAAATATATATTGCAATTTTCGAATTTTAATATTTTTAATTTTTAAAATTTTTTTGTTTATTTTACATTTATTTAAAATTCCAATCTTTATTTCACATTTACATCTTTCCTACTTTTTAATTTAGTTTTTTTTTTTTTTTTTTTTGAGGGGGGAGGGGGGCTAAAGAGAGAAAAGGAGAAAAGTTGCATATCATTTTGATATATTATATAAAAAAAAGAACTTTCCAAATTCGACACAGTCATTACAGCATCACACAATAGATCATTTCTAGCTAACAAAACAAAATGTCCTTCTTTTTCTTCTTCATCGCTATCATCGTTGTAATCATTATCGTGATCATCATCATTATCATCGTATCATAATCGTTTTTCGAACTTCTGCTGCTTATATCGTTGCATTTAATGTTATGCAAGAATGCATTCTATGATTTGTTTAATATGATGATTATATTCTTGACCGTATTCTCGTTTACAATCCTTTGATTTCTCTTTTTTTTTTCTTTGCTTATTTCAAAAATAAAACGAACAAAACAATATAATGTGTAATCAAAAGTTAATTTTAGATTAAAAAAAAAAACTTATACAACATGAATGTTATTAATGACCACCAAAGTTATCATATTAAACTGACCGATACATTCATATGATTAATTACGATGAGATAAACAAACAGCTGTTTTGTTGGTTTAAGCTTATAATAAAAAGAAAAAGAAAGAAATTAGTGACCATTGAAGTGAGTTAATGATAAAGAAATGAAATGAGATAAACTGGACGGGTCGCATAGTAAATGATCGTAGTATGTATTGTCAACGATACGAGCTAACACAAAAGCAATACAACTAGAACAGCTGGCTATGAAACGGTTCAAATCACAATTTGTAGGGAAAAAAATAAAGCTACTTAGACATTGAGAATTGCCTAACCAACTAATTAGTTGACTAGTTTTATCCAACAAATGTTCGTTCATTTCATTTCGGTAGTTGACTTTTATTTCTAACAACCATTATCATTGTCATCAACATTAGCTTATTATCATCACATTACATTTACTATATAACCACTAATTACTATTTAAAATGAGCTTTTTTCGGCATGTTTTTGTAATTGTTGAGCTAAAGTTTAAAATTAAAACTGAAGTACTTTTATGCTCATTTTCATCACTATCACCCACTTTTAATATTTTTCACATTTTTTTTTTTGTTCAAATAAGGAAGAAAAGTAAAATTAAAAGAGGAGTGGGAAAAAAGAAAAAGGTAAACATTTGCTCATTTTATGTTTTTAACTTACGTTTTTCTTATTTCTTTTTACTATTTTTCATTCCTTACCTTTTTGTTGTATCATAAACATTTTCAAGTCATACAAAACGAATTGAAATTTACACCAAACAAAACTTTTCCTTTTTGATTCATTTAAACTTTTTTTGTAGCGTTTTGCTTATCTATTTGTAAGCTTCTTTCTTCTTTCTCTATCATCTACAAGATATATTTTTAATTTTTTATAGAAATTCAAAATTAGGATATTGTATAGCAATTTACATATGTTATCAAATTAATTTTGGATTATGAATTCTAGATTATTCCAAAGTTTCTCATGCAAATAAAATTGGACAACATCGATATAATAATGCTTCATTTTGATGATTATTTAAAGTGGTCATTTTACATTATACAATCACATCAATACCGACAAGGCTACTAGAAATCGAATAATCGAATGATTATTCGTATTATTTAGTTAAACTGTGCTCCTAAATTTTATGCAGTCGCAATAAAACTATTGAGGATTGAAAGTTTTCCTTTTCTTTCTTTTTTATCTCCTTTATGTTTTTAAGTTAAATATAGAACTTTTTCATTGAGTACACATTTAAAATTTCCATTCAGCCTACTAACTTTATCGATTCTGGTCATTTTTTTTTTTTTTAATTTGTATTTCATTCTATTTTTCTTTGTAACATAATATAACATGAAATATTTACCATTTTGTTATATAAAAAATATTTCAATCGTATCTCATATCTTGACAAATAAGTAAGTGAACAATAAAATATATGGTGACAGATGTGACACAGATGGATCACAACTTTGATTACAATACATTTTGAGAGCAATGCCATTGAGTAAATCTAGAAACTCAGTTGCACATTCGTACAAATTCCATAATATATGATTTGCTTGTTGTAAAACTTGTAAAATTTTTGTACAATTATATGAATCTCAGTTGGTTCATAGTTTCGACAATTAATATTAAAAAATATTGTCACCAACTAAATATATGTCATCATTAACACTACATCTGTTATCCTTTGTTGATTTTATCATTTAATAAGATTATTTTTTAACAGGGTTAAAATATATAAAAATATAGACATTTTTAATGTTTCACATAATTTAAATCTTTAATCTAATTAAACTTACATGCAAATATTAATTCAGGTCAATAAATGTTAATTTAGGTCGACCTTGCGTAAAATTTCGATCAATAAAATGATAAACCCAAATGAGCATTACCGGCTATCTCCTAAAAATTCATTGAGAGTTTTGATATTATGTTACAATGGGATACTTAAACATCACATATGCTACAACTATTCGATTTCGAAGGACTTTTACTGATGACATATACTTATGATCATTTTCAATCATATTATGTCTCAAATTTCATCCTGTAAGTATATTATTGAAAATTATTAACATTTTCAGGAGAAATATTTATATTAATTTTTATTAGCTTTAGCAGGGAAAACTTAGGCATATTCTGCAAATGAGCCAAAAAAAATCAATTATGCTATAAATAATTTTGTTTTACTGACTAATTTCAAATAAATTTTGCTCATTTTTTAAGTTTCACTATATGAAAAGAAAAGAAATGAATTTAATTAGATCTGTATTTTTCTTCCTTTTTTTTGGTAAAAAAATGATTTTAGAACAATTGAAATTTAATTTAGCTAAAATCTATTCCTAAAATTTGCAAATATGATGCGTTATGTTTTATTCAAACTAAATATCGTATTAAACTTCATGAGTGCTTCTTCATTTTGTTGTTACTGTATAATTCTACCACCATCAATAGTTACATTTCTTTTTTTTTATGTAGTACATTTTAAAGTAAGCTTTGAAATCGAATTTCGATGACTTCTTTTTTTCGAAAGAGAAAACGAGAAAGAACCTATTAATTGGAAAGAAAATAAAAAAGAGACGGAAAATTTCATTGAAATCAAACCTCAATATCGTGACACACATTAATTTCAATGTTGTATGTCATTCATTTGTGTATGTTTCGTTCAATGGAAAGAATATTTGCACCAAATTTGTGCATAGCTAAATTTTTTATAATTTATTTCTTATAAAGTTAGAAAATATATACCATCTCTTTCCCTTTCCCTCTTTCTTTCTTCCTTTCTTTCTCTCTCTCTCTCTCCCTGCCCCTATTCCCCTCTAAAAGAAAAAAAACGAAAACTATTACGAAACAAAAAACTTTCCAAATATATTAATTCCCTCAGGGTGAACTAAACTTTCGTCTCCTCAAAAGAAAGCAAATTGATTTGGATGAAGGAATAAACTTAAAAAATATTTCTCGACAACGTGCAAATTTTTCTTTCTTTTTTTCCCAACAGATTTTATTTTTTAATTTCAAAAAAAAAAAAAGAAAAGAAATCGATCATATTGGTTGGCCCAATTATTTCGTTAATTCCATTACTGAATTGTAGAATGTAATATCATAACTGGTTTTAATAAAAATTTTTGACTTTTAAAATAACCACTGGTCATTCGTCGTAATTCAACAATTATGAATCAAATTTCATCACCAAATTAATAATGATGCATACATTTAAAATTCCTTCATTATAATAAAATTAATTTAAAAGCTAATTTAATTCAAATTAATTTGAAAAAAAAGTAAATTAAAAATAACAAGAGAGGAAAGAATTGCAATGATATATATCTTTCATTTCATTTCCTTTCATATGACATTGAGTAATTTATATTACCTTTGCCAATATCTCTGCCGTTATTTTATCATCATCTGATATTTGATCATAAATTAGACAAGTCTACCATACAACTCTCATATAAATTATTTACCTTAATAAAAAAATTTTTCTTTTGTCATTTATATTTTAATAAAAATTGAAAAGGATAAAAAAATAGTAATAGAAAAAGGCAGAAAAATGGAGAAGGAAGAGCATTTTGATATGGAACCGATCTCTTTATAAATTTTTGGAAATAGTTTTGTTTGTTGATCATTGTTATATTTATTGGTAACTGTCATTAGCATCACCAAGCAATCCCAATTTCATTTTTAATTTTTCATATTCAAAATGTTTTCGTAACATTTAATCTCAAAATTTAACTTTATTTTCTTTTAATAATAAATAAATTAATATTTGTGATGAAATCTTTCGATTAATTTCTTTTTCAAGCTAATCAGTTACATCAATTGTTATTAGTGGTAGCTTTTATATCATCCGGAAAGCTGAATTAATTTCCTGTAGTAAATTACTTACTGATAAGCACAAGTTAACTAATTATTAGTGATTAACTTCTTTTGGTGCGATTTTGATTGATTCCAGAAAGCCATCCTAATACAGTTTTGACATTCTTTCTTATAGATTGAAATAATAATAGTATTCTTCGGTCCTTTTTATACGCCTTTTTTGTTTAAATGTTTGTTTGCTTGCTTGTTTACTCATCCGCTTGTTTGTTTTGTTTTTTTTGTTTGTTTGTTTGTTCGTTCGTTCATTCGTTTATTTTATTATTATCGCTTATTTATTTGTTTATTTAAAAATTTCCATTAATCTACTCAAATTTGTTACCCAATTAATCCATAATTCCTCACATTTTAATTAATTAGTTAATATGTATATATGATTTCAATACTTTATTTCTTCAAGGAAATATTAACGCCTAAATATTATTTTATAATGTGTATTTGGCGTAAATAACGAGAAATTTTTCTTTCTTTCAGGCCGTAATGGCATTAGTGACGAGATTTATGCACTATAGGTTATTGATCTTCATACTGATTTGTTGTGGTAAGTTAATTGTGTTATTACTTCTATGGGATTATTTTATGGGTATTTTTTTAGATTGGAATCTTCTAGGAATCATTTAAATATTTAAGGTAAGGCAAGTTACAATACTCATTTAGATTATGGGAAAAAGAAAAAGCGTAAAAAATTTATGTCTAATTTGAAATGTATTATTAATACATGTATTAAAATTTACCAGTAAATATTTTATTATGTTTGTATTTTTCAGTAAGATGTAATGTAATTGATTGGTCCACAATACCAACACCGCCACGTTTCATTCACGAGCCTAACGACCCTACAATTTATTTTACGTTAGAATCAACTCAAACTTCTAATGGCCATAATTTAGATTATTTAAAAGAACGAACATTGAGGTGTATTGCTGATGGTAATCCATCTCCTGGGTATGATTTTCTTTTTTATTTTTTAAATGTTAAAATATATAGTGTAGGATATCTGTATCAGAAATATTTTCACGTTCTTACGCTTATATACGATTAGTAATAAATGAATACACTACGGATGGCATTCATACATCTAAAAAACATTAATATGATTAATTTACAATGAAATGAATTTAAAGGAAGTTAAACCATAAAAGAAAAAAAGAAATTGAAAATAGTTTACTTTGATTTTGAAAATTTTTAATTTATAGATATAAATGGAAAAAGAACGGTAAACCGTTCAATTTAGCATTGTATTCTGATCGGATTGCTCAGCGTCCAAATGAAGGATCATTTGTTTTTTCTAAATTAACTGCTGCCGATGAAGGTGTTTATCAATGTGAGGCAACAAATGATAATGGTACTGCTATTTCCGAGAAGATTACTCTAAAGCAAACATGTTAGTTCCTTTAACTTTTTTTGAAAATTTTCTACTATTACATGTCAAAAGTCAACGGTTTAATTTTTCCTAAGATTTTGCCAAATTTTGATACAGTTAAAATTGTAAGTAATGAATATTTATTATTGTAATTAGTAGATGGAAATTTTGTAGTTTAAAATTTATTTTTTTGGTTAATAAATAGAAGACAATAACCTAATTGCTTAATAGAAACTGCTGCTCTCAAAAAATTTTAACTTTATCAATACTTTAGGTTATCAGTATATTATCAAAAAAATCGATTATCATAAATTTAGAAATTATCAGTAAGGACTTGAAATGATTGATTTAAAACTATTCTGAACGATCTTGTCTATTTGTTTACTTATTTTTTAAATTATGAAATGACGAAATTAAAATTTGTAGATTTGCTGGTTAAGCTATTTATTCCGCTGCTATCCATATTATTTCAATATTATCAGTTATTTTTTCAGGGATACGATACTTTCCAAAAGCTGAACCGGAAATCATACGTGTCGATTTAGGTGATCCATACCAACGGAATTGTACGCCACCTGAATCAAATCCACCGGCTCGAGTTTACTGGATTTTTAAGGTGCACTTTTTGTTATTCTATTTGTTAGTTTTTTTTTTTTTTTTTTCTAGCTAATGAACTTAAAAAAATTGATATAAAAATGAACCTTATTCATTCGCATCTCAAATTTTTCAGTTTGAAAAAGTGAAAAAAAAAAAAAAAAAAAAAAAACAAAAACAAATATTAGATTAATGTGAATGGAAACTATAAAGAAGATTTTCGTTTCTTTATAATAATATCATGTATTTATCATCTGATTCTTTCACAAATAGACTTTCTTTTTCAAATGTAAATTGAATTTAGTATATAATGTAAATTAAACTTATTATTGCAAACTGAATGTGGTGCAAATTAAATTCATTAATGTAAATTGATTTTAATGCATTACTTGATTTTTTCTAAATATGGAAGGAAGAAAGAAAAATTGATGATTGCTATAGTTGAGCATATTAGTATATGCTTATTTTTTTGTTGAAAATGTTTAATTCAAATACTAACATTTCAATTACTTGTTACAGAAATTTGTTTTTTCTTTTTTAATTAATAAAACATATTATATTGCTTAAATTTGTTAATAAGCCAATAAATTCTAAATAGTATTTTAATGCAATTAACTAACAATTGTAAATAATGAAATTTCAGGGTGATGAAGAAGGATCATTTGATTCAATTAACAGTTCACATATTTCAACAAATGAACTGGCTAGTTTTTCCTTCTTTTTTTAAAAAAAAAAAAAAAAAAATTGATTTTTTTTTGTTTTCCGTAATCATAATTTGATTATATATGTACAGTTGAAAGGATGAAGTTGGAAACAATCAAAAACATTTGTGAATTTTTCTCCGGGAAAAACTGTAACTTTAAACACTAATATTATAATTTGCCTGAATTTGGCTCTTTTCTTTTCGGAATATATCTCATCATATTATCACTATAATTAATTGAAATAAAAATGTGCTATAATTAAGAAATAAAATAATTTATAATACTATTGGTTAAACTACATTTGTAAAAATTTTTCGAATTTTATGAATTGTTAATGAAATATGATTAATACAAATTAATTATGGAATAATATTTAATATTATTGATTGTAATTTGATCGACAAAAGCTAATCCAAATGGTTAGATAAATCGAATAATTTGGAATATATTACCAAAATTTTTTCCCTTCTTTCTTTTTTTTATAATTTAGAAATCAAAAATTTTCTCATATCGTTGCTTCATTTTGGCTTTATTTGCCTTTTGAAAAATCAAATTCATTGGCTAATTTAAATTTCAAGTACTAAAGTAGCAAGTTTTAGTTTTTAGTCATCCATGACGATGTTTTAGTAGTGGTAAAAGAAATTTGAATCAATTAAAATGCAATAATTACTATTTATTTGTGATAATCGAAGATTAAATAATTGCTAGCCTTAATTAATTTACTTTTCCACCCGATTAGCTATATTTGAAACTTATTCCATAATAAAAGTTACTTCTTCCATTCATTACCAATTCCTCACATATAAAACATTTCGTTATTCATTCCTGTTCAGTTTTCTTATCAATCTTTATAAGATTACGTTTCATTTTTTTTCCCAATTTATATATTATATTATTTACATTCATTTCAGTTTAATGTTACATTACTGCAATTTGTCATCTTTAACAGATGACATATTTAATAATAAAAATAATATCAATGTTTAATATTACTATAAAATATGAATTATTATTGTTTTTTTCTCACTTTTTTTTAAAAAGTCATAATTAACCAAATTTAATTTTTAAATTAAATCATTTGTTATGCAAACTGGAAAGAATTATGTAAGGTAGGAAACATTATAACATATCGCTCCTATCTCATATTAAGATTATTTTCAGAAATTTTTTTTTTTAAATCTTTTTTTGTGGAAATTTCTGTTTCTTATGGAATATATATTTATTTATTGTCATTCAAAATTTCATTTTCTCTTTTTTTCTTTTTCTCTGAAATTAAAATTATGCTTTTATTACACTTTCAGTTTTCTCTTCCATTCTTTATTTAGATTGGCATAGTTTTCATTTCATATCATAAATCAGAAATTATCTCATTAATCCTTTGGCACTCAAATGATACTTAATTATTCAACTGAAAATTAACATTTTGCAAAATATTATCCATTTTTACAAAAAATAACTCATTTTTTTTTTTGTCATTGATGATTTAAATTAGTATAAAAGTTATTTAAAGCACATTAAATTCAGATAATTTCTTCTTTTCTCTTTACAGTAGTTGTTTAAATTAGTAATTAATAAGCATAAAATGCTTTATTTTATTTTTCTTTTTTCATTTTTTATTATTTATTTCCCCAAAGATTTTCCTGTTTGTTCCCATTATTCGATAAATGCCTACTAGATCTAAAACACTGACACTTTGTAGCAAAGTGAAGAAATGAGAACGGATGATAATTCTCTCTTGAGAATAACCCTCAATAAATGTCTCTCTCCCCGTCTTTCTCTCTCTCTCTCTCTATCCTATTTTCACTAGCTTTAAACTATGATATTACCCACTGAAAGTACTTTTTACTTTGACCAATAAAGTAATATTTGGGCTATAGTTAAGCATTATATATATGAAATAATAAAATGAGCCATGAATTAAGCTGCGCCTAGCAATAGACAACCGATATTAAACATTATAACATTTAAGGCTTTTAAAATGGCCGTTAGATTATAATGATCAAATAAACATCATCATTTATACATCTTAAATGTTATTTTCAATTGAGAGAATCATTTTCCAACAATACAACAGAAAAGGGAGAGAGAGGGAAAGAAAGCATGATATATTTATTATTTTCAGTGCAACAGGTTGTTTTAACTATTTATGTTTGATATTAAAAACTATTTTAAGTCAAATAAAAATGATAAAGAGGAAAGGATAATTTTTCAATTTGATATTGAATAGAATTTGGCATCACTAGGAAAAATAGGGCCTAGTTAAGGAAGAAGCGGTCGTTCTTGAATTTAGATCGCATTTTATTGATCCCGAATTAGTCTTTTACACTAATTCCATTGGGAAAATGCTTTTTGTTTTCTTTCTTTTCTTCTTTTTCTTTCGTTTTTTTTTCCTTTTTTTTTTTTGGTTTTTTTTTTTGAAAAGCACTAACAGCAAAAAAAAAAAAAAAAAAAGAAGGAAGCGAATTTTTTGTTATAACACACACAATAAAAAAAACCTATAGAAAAAAAAAGCATTTCAATTTATTCTCAGAGCTTATATACTTTCTAGATTTTACAATCAACTAGTTGCTTAGCCTAGTCTTGTCTAGTCTAGTCTGTTTGATCTAGTCTAATCTACTCCAAACTACTATCTCACTTAATAATGCATTATCACCACTCTTTTTCTAATTTTCCATTTTTTTATTTTATTTTGTAAATATCAATGGAATTTATAGCGCTCAAACTTGATTCTTTAATATCTGAAATCGCAATATTATTTCAAACCATTCAGATTTCATCCTTTTATTTATTGCTTGTTTATTTTGCCTGTCGTATTTGATTGACATAATATAAAGACATAAATTTAATGCCAATCATAGAAATATATATATATCCTTATTTCTTGAATTGAATTTATTTCAATTCATCGATATTATAATTTAATAAATATATTAAATACTCGTTATTTCTTTTATTTTTGTATTTAAACCATATTTTAAAAACATTTCAATTTTGAATCATATTAGTGATAAATTAGGAATAGCAAGACAGATAAAGGTTTAGAAAGAAACGAAAAATTATGACTTACTTCGAATGATTATAAGATATCTTAAATTAGACGTGAAAGGTGATATGTTAATTGAAATTTTTCATTCCTAGTTTGAATGAAATTAGTTTTAATAAATTAAGCTTAGAATAATTATAATAGATTTTGAATGCAATAATTAATATTAAATTAAAGCTGATTTTGTAGTTGCAACAAGTTTTGATAAATTTGATGTGATATCATATTAAATTGTTAATTTGAATGTATCATCATATTAATAACAAATTTAACCAATTAAATGGAAAATTTTCGCTATTGTTATTAAATTAAAAAAAAAAAAAATAATAAAGAAATGATAATTCTATAGTACTACAATACATATATTGTTATACTACGATTATGCTACTAAATTAACTTGATGTTATTTAATAATCTCATTAAGAAAAATTTTGAATTCTCATAAATTTAAAGAAAAAAAAAACAAGAAAACATTCCCTTCCTTTATTTTTTCTTTATCCAATATTTTATTCCTTTATTTATTCCTTTAAATTAAAAACCAAGGAAAAGAAAAAAACATAACCTTTATGTGCAACACGATTGTAAATCCTTTTCCAATTTATTTCAATTTGAGTATTGTGTAGTAAGTAAATAACAAATTATGATGATACTACGATGTCGTTTTTATGGTGCCATCTTTATCGTAAATGTTATCAATAAATATATGTTTTTTTTTTTTTTTACAATAAATTTTTTTTTTTAAATTTTATTTTGATGGACTCATTTAGTAAATTTCCTCTTTTTTTTTTTGTTCTTTTTTTTATTTATATTTTTCTTTTTTCTTTTTGCAAGATCTCCATATGCTATTATTAGCATTTGTTTATTTTTCGTCACTTTTATTTGTAAAATGTTAACGTAAATTTTATTTCAATTTTAGCAATTCTTTTTTCTTTTTTTTTTTTGCTTCTTGGAAAATTTTCAAAATTATTTATTCTTTTAGCAAATATTTTTTATTCATCGCTATTTTCTTATTACATATTTCTAATAGATAGGAAAAATTTTTTTTTCCAGTGATAAAATATTAATTCCTTATATTTCAATTTAACAAATATGTACAATCCACATGCTGCTTCCCTAAGATATCATTATTTATATTTTCATATCAATAAAATAAGTGCATTTAAAGTGTTATGAATTCGTACATAGAAATTTCTCCGATTCATGTTTGTATTAATTTGAAAATTATAATGTAAAATTAGAGGAAGTGGAAGATTAAACTAAAACATTCCACTAACTATTTGATAAAAGTAAAATTTTATTAAAATAGACTTTAAAATAGAACGAAGGAAAAAATGAAAATGATAATAATTTTGTCTTTTGGAATAACACAATTTGGTTTTTTTTTAAACTTTCTTCGTCATCTACCAATTATTTTTTGAGACTTTTATAATTACAGTGAAATGATTATTTAGGTGGATTATTTTCCTTCTTCATAGACAGGGAGATAATTAAATGACTGACAATAGAAATAAGCTTAATGTTTTAAGGCATTATTATTATTATTTATTAATTACTAATTATCAATTATTGTCATTTTTATTATGAAGAATCATTGTTGTGACATCTAAGTAAACCAGTTGCAATTGCATAACAAAGGGTTAAAATTTGCTACAAATTAGTGTTGAAATACATTACCGCAATGATTGATTGATTGATTGATTGAGAAATGATATTTTGTGTAATATTATTGAAATACCATTATAGACTGATATGTATGTGTTGTATTTCTTGCAGTACTATCATCGAATGCAACTATTACTTGATCCATGCAGTCATTTTCTTCGTAAACTTTTTTTTTCTCTCAAAAAAAAAGAAAAAAAAAAAGAATTCACTTGATAAATGTAAATGAAGAAAAAAAAAAAAGAAAAGAAGCCGCAACAACGATGGCAACATTACTATATGGTTTTTTTTTTCTTCATTTAGGTTTCTTTTTCTAACAAT